CCTGCATCCCCCTCCTCACACAGCATGGTTTCTGATACAGCAGGAAGGGCCCCCGCTGCTGCCCTGCCCACAGGACTGTGCTGAGGGTGCCTTGAGCAACTCTGTAACCCCCAGCTGTCACCTGACTCCAGGTGACGCTGCCAAAAGGGGACCCTGAGAGAACTTTACCCAGTTCTAGCCAAGGTCCCACTCACAGGCAGCCACTGCCACCAAGAGCAGGAGAGAGGAACACCATGCTTCCCACTGCTGTCCTGCCCCCATGCGCACCTTGTCTGACCACACCGCTGTCCTGACTGGGTGTGGGTGCCACAGAGGTGAAAGACCTCTACAATGAAAACTACAGATTGCTAAAAGAAGAAATTAAAGAAGACCTTAGAAGATGAAAAGATCTACCTGGATAGGCAGAATATTGTCAAAATGACCATACTACCAAAAGCACTATGCAAATTTAATGCAATTCCAATCAAAATTCCAATGACATTCTTCATAGAAATAGAAAAAGCAATTATGAAATTCATCTGGAAAAACAAGAGACCCAGAATAGCCAAAGCAATCCTTAGCAAAAAGAGTGAAGCAGGTGGCATCACTATACCAGACTTTATACTACAGAGCAATAATAACAAAACAGCATGATACTGGCACCAAAATAGACTTGTAGACCAATGGAACAGAATAGAGGACACAGAGACAAACCACATAAATACAGTTATCTCATACTAGACAAAGGCACCAAAAACATATTGGATAAAAGATAGCCTCTTCAGCAAATGGTGCTAGGAAAACTGGAAATCCATATGCAGTAAAATGAAATTAAGCCTTTATCTCTCACCGTGCACAATACACAACTCAAAGTGGATCAAGGACCTAGGAATTAGACCAGAGACCCTACACCTAATAGAAGAAAAAGTAGACCCAAATCTTCATCATGTCAGATTAGGCCCTGACTTCCTTAATAAGACTCTATAGTGCAAGAAATAAAATCAAGAACCAATAAATGGGATAGATTCAAACTGAAAAGCTTCTTCTCAGCAAAAGAAACAATCATTGAGGTGAAGAGAGAACCTACAGAATGGGAGCAAATTTTTACCACACACACATCGGATAGAGCACTAATCTCTAGGATATATAAGGACGTCAAACAGTTAAGCCCTGATAAAACAAATAACCCAATCAATAAATGGGCTAAGGACCTGAAGAGACACTTATCAGAAGATGATATACAATCAATCAACAAATATATGAAAAATATTAAGCATCTCTAGCAATTAGAGCAATGCAAATCAAAACTAAGATTTCATCTTACTCTAGTCAAAATGGCAGCTATTAAGAATACAAAAAACAATAAATGTTGGCGAGGATGTGGGGGAAAAGGTACACTCATACATTGCAGGTGGAAATGCAAATTGGTGCAACCAATCTGGAAGAGTATGGAGATTCTTTGGAAAAATGGAAATGGAACCAACATTTGACCCAGCTATCCCACTCCTCGGTTTATACCCAAAGGACTTAAAAACAGCATACCACAGTGACACAGCCACATCAATGTTTATAGCAGCACAATTCAATTCAGCTAAATTGTGGAACCAACCTAGATGACTATCAATAGATGAACGGATAAAGAAACTGTGGTATACATACACAATGGAATATTAGTCAGCATTAAAAAAGAATAAAATCATGGCACTTGCAGGTAAATGGATGGAGTTGGAGAATATCATGCTAAGTGAAGTACCCAATCCCAAAAAAACAAAGACCGAGTTTTTCTCTGATATGTGGATGCTAATCCATAATGGGGGTGGCAGAAGGGAGCATGGGAAGAATGGAGGAACTCTGATAGGCCAATAGGGAGAGAGGGGAAGGATGGGGATATGGAGGTACAAAAAAACGATGAAATGAGATGGACATCATTACCCTAAGTACATGTATGAAGACACAAATAGTGTGACGCTACTTTGTGTACAACCAGGGAAATGAAAAACTGTGCTCTATATGTGTACTATGAATTAAAATGGATCCTGCTGTCATGTATAATAAATTAGAATAAACATATTTTTAAAAAAAATAATAATAAATAATTAAAATGGCTAAACTCACAGAAGTAGAGAACAGAATAGAGGTTACCAGAGATGAGGACAGGGAAAGTGGAGAGAGGGAGGTCAAGAGGATATAAGTAGAAGAGGAATAACTTTCTCTTCTACTTATATCCTCTTGCATAGCAGGGTGACTCTTAAGTTAACATTAAAATGCTATGCACTCAAAACAGCAAGAGGGATTTTTTTTTTTTTTTTTTTTTTTTTTAGTACTGGGACTTGAACTCAAGGGTGCTTAACCACTGAGCCATATCCCCAGTCCTTTTTTATATTTTATTTAGAGACAGGGTCACACTGAGTTGCAAGTGCCTCGCTAAGTTGCTGAGGCTGGCTTTGAACTCATGATTCTCCTATCTCAGCCTCCTGAGTCTCTGGAATTACAGGCATGCGTCACCATACCTGGTGAGGGTTTTGTTTATATTTCGTTTCAATTTTTCTTCCTCTTTTGGTACTAGAGATTGAACCCCTCAGGGGTGCTTTACCACTAAGATAGACTCTCAGCTCCCCCATCCTTATTTATTTATTTTTTTTTTTAATTTTTGAGACAGGGTCTCGCTAAGTTGCCCAAGCTAGTCTCAAACTGGTGAACACCCTCTCCCTCTGCCTCTGGAGTACATGGATCATGGGTGGAGTCACTTCTACCCAACTCAGTAGAAGAGATTTTTTAATGCTATACCTAAAAGAAATAGTAAATACGTATGAAGTGACATGCTAATAACTATGGTATGGTCATTATCATTTGTATACAGGTATTCAAACCTTACCTTGTAACTCATAAATATGCATAATTAAGTGTCAATTAAAGAACCCCCCTCAATCAGTATTGTGATGCATCCTGTAATCCCAGCTAGTCAGGAGGCTGAGGCAGGAGGATCACAAGTTCAAAGCCAGCCTGAACAACTTAGCAAGACCCTGTGTCAAAAATAAAATAAAAAGAGCTGATATGCAGCTCAGTGATAGAATACTTCCCTAGTATGCATGAGGCCTGGGATCATTCCCCAGTAATGCAAACAAAACAAAACAAAAAAACCACTGGTAGAATAGAAGCTTGGAGTCAGACAGAGCTCATTTCAGTCTTGCTTTACTTAATCTCCCTGAGGCTCAGAGAGATCTCAGGCCCTCATTTATAAAATAATAACCACCTCACAGGGTTGTTAAGAAAATTAAACGTGGCGATGGGTGTGACAGAAGCTGACACTGTGGAAGCAGTCAGGGGACATCAGCTGCATTTCCAGCTTCCTTCCTGCGTCAGTCTTCTCTGACTTAACAGCAGGTAGAACCAAGGAATTCCACATTCCATTCTCCTCCCCCCAAAATACAGGAATCAAAGGAAGAAAACTCCACTTTCCCCAACCCACCAAGAGGCTACAGTCCTGCCGGGGCTCCACTCACTCCATAAATCTTTATTGAGTGGTCAGAGCCAAGGTGGTGAACAAAACAGACTCCTGCCTGCCCTCATGGAGTTTCAGTGTAGGGGAAGAGACGGATATGAGTCAAACAAACTATTCCAGCAGCAACAGCTGCAAAGCAGGGGTGTGTTGGAAGATGGGAAAGGATCTGGCCAGGAAGAAGCTCAATGCTGATAAATGACTAGACATTAACTAGGTGAAGAAGGGAAGAGATTTCCAGGGAGAAGAAAAAAAAAAAACAATAACAGAAAGGTCCTATGGTAGGAAGAAATGCAGAGCTATGGTGTGGACAGTTGACTACGTAGAATATACAGGTCTGGAGTTCATGGGCACCCTCTGGGCTGGAGGGGTAAACACGAGAGCCAATATGAGCAAGCTGTGACTGAAGCAGGGGAACAGGCCTAGGGGAATGGACCACTAGAGAGAGAAGAGGGCCTACGATAAATATTTAACAGCCAAGAGCTGGAGGGTAGCTTCAAATGAGTCTGGAAAAAGCAGCCTAAGAGGTGCCACATCATGGAAGCTAAGGGAGGAGTCGACTGTGTGAAACCTAACTATAAGGCACGGCTGTGAGGCTGAGGCTCCATGATTAACCGTGGTCCCTTCACCTTCTGAATACAGACCCCATTGCTCTAAGGCTTCTTTCTTTAAAAAAATGTTTTTTTCTCTCTTCTCCCCTCTCCACCTCCCTAAGAAGTTTAGGGAGACAGTTTTATCTTTTCTTCCCCAAGTTAACTGCCCTTGCACACACCCCAATACAGGAAGGAGATGCCACCAGCTGAGGATGTGAGACGTGAATATCTCCCAAATTAACAAGTGAATCCATCGGGGCGCCCAGAGCACACCTGGAATGTAACCCTGAAAGAGTGTCTTTAAAACCCCCCTGTCCCTCCTGATTGGGAGAGTCAAAGCCTTTGGGACAGAAGGCCCCTGTGTTTCTCCTTTGCTAACAAAGCAATAAATCTTCTTTTTCCTTTTTTTTTTCTCAAAACCATGTCCTCATTATTAAATTGGCATTGGGGACAGGGACCGAGCTTTCAGTTACAGTAAGAGGCCACTGACTGACAGGACCTGGCTCACCCAGCTGGGCAGCAGTATGGAGAGGTCTTGATACCTAAGCACTGGGGGCCTATGAGATCTCCTGGAGGGGCCTGGGAAGTGACTGGCATATTACATACAGGCTCTCCTGCCAGCAGCTTCCTGGGAGGAAGAATGGAAGAACAGAGACTCAAAACATCTGCCACTGAATCCAACGATCCGGCCTTAGGAAAGAGTAGGTACCAGCCTAGACATATCCTCTGTCATGATGCTGGTTAAATATGTATGGCTTTAGAACTAGGACAGGACAGTACTTGATCTGACACCAGGGTGCAGGACAGGGGGCTATCCCACTCCAATAGCTAGCAAGGCACCTAGACTGGGGCCTCTAGTCGCAGCATCAGCCGCAGCATCAACACAGCTGATTTCTAACACTCCCGCCCTCAGCACCCGACCTACTTACCTGGCAAGACACCTGGACCTTGGACTTTGACTGTCTCCTTGTCCTGCTCGTCCACCTGCTCTGAGTTCTCGACCACCTGTTCCAACTCTTCACTCAGCTAAGGGGAAAAGCAAAGCGGGAGAACAGATTGGCTGCGTCCGCCTTGCTTTTCTAGACCAAAATAAGAAAGCAGAAGCTGCGACTCACTGAACTGTCACCAAAAACACCACATGATGTAGTGTGATCTACAAATCAGGAAAATGGAGTTCAGAAAACTCAAGGAACTTCCTTAGTTCCCTAGGACTTCCGTAACAAAGTGCCACAAACTGAATGGCTTAAAACAACAGGACTATCTTCTCTCACATTTCTTGGAGGCTAGGAGTTTGATATCAAGATATTGGCAGGGTTGGTTCCTTCCAAGAGCTGTGGGGAGAAATACATCCCATACCTCTCTCCTAGCTTCTGAGGACAGCCAGCAATCCTTGGCATTCATTCCTTGGCTTATAGATGAATCTGATTTCCAATCTCTACTCCATCTTCACAAGGTATTCTCCCTGTGTTTGTGTCTTCACAGGGTCATCTTGAAGGGCACTAGTCATGCAGGATTAGGGCCACATCCTACTTCAGTATGACCTTACCTTAACCCGAAATGACTTTATTTTCAAACAAGATCGAAGTCCGAGGTACCCGGAGTTAGGACTTCAACATATCTTTTTTTTTTGCGAAACACAATTCAACCCACCACACATGCCATGGCCATAAAGTTTGTGAAAGAAAAAGTTAGGAGTCAATCCAAGTTGGTCTAGTTCCAAAGCCCAAGTGCTCAACCTCTTCCTAAAGGAAGAGGAAGCGTGGCTTTGAGTCAGCCGAGAGAGAAAAGGGAACAGTGAAGTTGCAGTCAGAGCTCTCTAGGACTCTGGCTAAAGTCCACTGACTTGGGCTGCAAATGGCAGAACCAAGTGGGAAAGGAAGTCCAGGTGACAGGCCAGCCTCATCTCACTTCATCAGTGTTCTCACCTGTCAAAGGGGAGAAATTATACCACTGAGAAGGACAGAAAGGATAACAGTGATAATCACCAGTCTCCATAAAATTAGGAGGGAGGGCAGGAGAGGTCAGAGTTGGGACAAGGAGCTATCACTGAATTGGGAGGCAGTGGGGTAGTTTTCCCAAGTGGCTTCTCAGGTACATAGTGTTAACACTTTCAAGGTACTTCAATTAAAAACTGAGTTAAAAAAAAAAAAAAAAACTCGTATGCATCTGTTTCTCTTCCATCTCCTTTACCAAGCATACACCCCTTTAGAATCAGGCAAAAACCTCCAGTTTCAAGCCCTTCAATCACATAAAAAAAAAAAAAAAAAAAAAGCAAAGTGAAAAAATAAAAAGGAGAGAGCTGGGAGGCTGGGGAAGACATCATGATATACAGGCCTCTATAGGAGCCCCCAAAAGGGAACCCCAGAGTCTCACTGGCCAAAATGAGATGAGGTTGTTAGAATCAGGAAGCCTCAAAGTTCTATGATCCCAGCTTCACCTGGATTCATCCTGACCCACATAGCACATCCTCTTACCCAGTTCCCTTCTTGATACCTGCAGCCATAATAAGCCCACCTCCTTGCCTACCCCTTCCCTCAAAGCCAAAATTTCCTCTCAGCAAAGACACCTATCTCAGAGCTAGGTCCACTCAAATGACTCAGGCAAGAAAGATGCAAGTCATTATCTGGGCAATCTTCTTGGGACTTCAGAGTACCATCCACCATGGGAATGCCCCCAGTGAGCAACTGACTCACCTGTGGCCTTGCCCTTGCAAGTGGGATAACAGTTCATAAGTTAATAAATATTTTATGAGCCCTGTTAGGTGAGGAGATACTGCAGACTGTGTGTTGGAGCCAGGATCCTGTTAAATCTGGACCCCAAAGTTCCCAAAAGAAGAAACTACCGGTCATTCTCCGAGGACACTGAGCTCAGCACTTTCCATATACTAACTCATTTGTGAACAGTGAGTGTCTAGTATGACCAAAGCCGAAGTGGGTGAGGAGATAGTCAAAGTAACACATAAAAAGTTGAGCTGCACATGGTTTTGAATTCTTGCTGAGATGTTTGGCCCGTTCTGGGTAGATCCAGCGTCAGGGCTGTGAAAGGAAAAGGCTCTGGAGTCAGGGAAGACCCTCAAAGCAAATGTGGAGAATATGAGAAATGTGGAGAATGAGGGGGTAACACAATATCACACTCGGGTGATTAGAACAGACACAGGGACACAAACTGGAGCAAGAGTTGAAGATGTGGACCTGAGTAATCTTGGCAAGTGAGAGGAGCACAGTGGAGGAGAATAGGAGAGGAAGATTACCAAAGATGACCAAGGTTCGGGTGGAGAGGGGAGAGCAGTTTCACCCACAGGCTTAAGAAGCCAGGAGGAAGAGTACTCTGAAGGAAAAGCTGGAGGCTCAGCTTGTACTCGGGACAGACAAGAGACAAAGAACTGGAGAAAGTGATCGTTAAAGTCGTGGGAGGAGGTGAGATTTGAAGGGAGAGGAGCGAGAACAGCAAGGTCAGTGAAAGCACTTTTTTTCAAAGTTAGGCGGCCACCAAAACAAGAGATAATGATCCCTGCCATTTACCAGCCACCGGGACCACGCGGCCTCGAGCTAAAGGAGAGCTGATGCCCAAGGCGCATCTGAGCTCGCCGCGAGAAAGACGCACCCGATTCCACTTGTTGCAAAGAACCTCGCTTCGGTCGACTGGCCGCACTATGGACCGGGACCAAAGGGGCTTTAATCATTCACCTGCTGGTTACGGGTCGCGGCTCCAGGGACCCGACTCCATCCCCCGGCCAATCGACTGGCAGCATCCGGAGGAGGCTGGCACCCGCGCAGCCCGCCACCCGGCTTCCTTCCTTCCTTCCTGCTGAGCAGCTCCTCGGCACCCCGGGACCCTCTGAGGACGCACTCACCCCGCCCTTTGGCTGCACAGCCGGATGCCCCCGCGCAGCCCGAGCCCCCCGGCACCCCACCCCCAGGATCCCGAGACCTCGCTCCTCCGCCTCACAAGAAACTCCCTTCCTTCCCCTGCTCCCTCGTACCTCCTGGTAGGATGTGGTGAGTTCCTGCCGGATCATGGCACTGACCAGGGCTAAGGTACACCTGAGTCCGCGACAGCCGGGGAGATGCAGGGAGTGAGCACCGCAGCTGCAGTCTGGGGACCTGCCGGCTCCGCAGAGCAAGACCGGTTCCAAGCTGCGTCCCAGACACCAGGCGTGACGCGCTAGGCGCATGCGCCTCGCTCCTGCAGCGGCCCGGGCGGGCGAAGGAAGTGCAGGGAAATGTAGTTCTTGGCAGGGCGCCCCTCGCCACCCCTGGGAAACAGGAGCCCAAGTGTTTGGCTGGGCCCGGCCAAACCCCGGCCTTCAACGCGCGTGCCTCTTTGTCTCTCACTTCCTCTCTCTGTTGGAGGGGGAGGGTAAGTGGAACAAAGAGGCCAAATCAGATGGGTAGGACCGCCTAATCTATAATTGCAAGCGGAAGCTTGGTTCGGCAATAAATGTCTGGAAGAGCGCTTTGTACATTACAAAGCATTCTCACTTTCTGCCCTTGATCCTTCAAGGGCCCCTCTAGGAGGAATATTTTTCTCCCTATTTTGCAGATGAGGAAACTGAGGTATCTTGTTTCAGAAAGGATGGAAGAAGAACAGTGTGATCAAGTGAAGATTATATATCCAAGAGTAGACTACAGAATTCATGTTCTTTCCGTCATTCCTGAGGCACACACTTGGAGTCGGGAGTCCTAGTTCTTGTCCTTGCTCTGCCCCTCACCCTGTAATCTAGCAATGAACAAGGCTCACCTGTTTCTGCCTCAGCGCAACTGCTAAAACCTGCTCTGTTTCACTGGGCTTCATGGGAGCCAAGAGAGTTCGTGCAGTGAACACCCAGAGGTGTTATTCAACCACAGCAGAAGCAGGGAGCCCTAAATGTGGCAGAGAATTGGGTGTTGGCCCTATGGAGGGTGGACTTGAGGACCACCCACATCTCCCATGCCTGGCTAGCTGGTCTGAGTGGCCACCCTGAGCTGCTTAGTGGTGAAGCAGATAGAGGCTGCTTATTATGCCTTAGTGAATGCTGCTCTGTGTCCGGAGCAGCTGCAGCTTTGCAGCCCCCTCCACTCAGGCCACTGGGCCTCTTCCCTGCTGACATGCACAGTAACACCAACCACATCAGATCATCCTGGGCCTCCTGAAGCTAGCAGTGGGAGGTCCCATGCCTCTCATGATCAACCTGCTACACCCCAGGCCCTCTGCTTTTACATCTATTAAATGGGACAATATGTATAGCACCCAACACATTGTAAGCACTCAACTGCACATTTGTTAAATGTGAGTAGAACACTTAACACCAGTCATTTCACTTATCAATTAAAACAATCAACTAATTAAATCTTTTAGTGCATTCATGCAAAGGTGGTTGGTAGAACATGTCACACAATCATAAAATTTTAGACTGGAAGGAACTAAAGCAATCTATTTCAGTCCTATCGTACCTCTCTGCTCTTTGTTGGTATGACTAAACTGGGAAATGATGGTCTCCCTTATTTGAGGAGATTAACTGATTAATATAATTTTTAACATAGTTTAAAAAATAAAATGTGACACAGAGTGTGGTGGCGCACCCCTGAAATCCCAATGGTTCTGCAGGTTGAGGCAGGAGGATCACAAGTTTAAAGTCAGCCTCAGCATGGTGAGGCACTAAGCAACTCAGTGAAACCCTGTCTCTAAATAAAATACAAAATAGGGCTGGAAATATGGCTCATCAGTCGAGTGCCCCTGAGTAAAATCCCCAGTATCAAAAAATAAATAAAATGTGCCAGGCACTGGGATATACAAATGAATGATAGCCCAATATTCTTGCTTCTGTGGCTCTTCCATGCTAGTGTACAGAGACAGACCATAAAGTAGAGCTTTCAGTCCTTGATGTCCCCAGGTCTCTCTTCCCCTTCCCTTGTGAGCACACACTAATCAAATTTTCCAACAGAACAGTGGTTATCATGGTCCCAAATGACCTCTGCGTTGTCAGATCAGATGCCATTTCACCATGTTTCTCTTTCTTGATTTATCAGGGACGCTGGACTCAGCTGATCCTCCCTTCTCCGTGATACACTTTCTTCCCTGGTTTCTAGGACACCTCCCACTTTGCTCCTCCCTTGCTTGCTGCTCCTTCTCAGTCTCCTGTACTGACTTCCCCCTCATCTCAGCGCTACAGAGTGACCTTCTCCTTTCTCCTTACTCCCTAGGAGTTAGTGAAGTGGTCATCTCTAGTCTCGTGATAGAATTACCATCTGAACCCTAGAGATTCCTGCTATGATTTGAATGGTGTCCCTTCAAAATATGTTGAAATTCTGACTTCAGTATCTTAGAAATTTGGAAATAGGGTCATTGCAGATGTAATTAGTTAAGATGAGATCAAAAGGTCCTTATGACTCTACCACTTTGGTTTGTCTGGCAGAGGTACTTGGACAAATTACTCCTGTGGGAATACTAACCATGTGTTGTGTGGTGAAGGGATTCCTTAGCCCAATAAGCCTTGTGTGCATAAAAAATGATGGAAGATAATGTGAAGACAGACACAGGGAGAAGACCACATCATGACAGAAGCAGATGTTGTAGTAATGCAGCTGCAAGCTGAGGTGACTTCAGTTATTCACATGCTGTTTACAAGTCCCAACTCCCAGGTCCTGACTCCATCCCTTGGCCAAACAATAGGCAGTATCCCAAGGATTTCCAGCTGCCAAGAGAAGCTAGGTGCATGTCCTTGTTGACACCTTGATTCAAACTCGTAGCTTCCAGACCTTGAGGGAATAAATTCCTGTTGTTTTAAAGCCTTCTAGTTTGTGGTTCTTCTGTGAAGCAGCCTAGGAAACCAACACAGTCCCCAAGTGTATACAAATGCATGATTTCCAGCCTCCCACTCTCCCCTGAGGCTCAGGCTCACTGCCCAGCTTCCTGTGCCTCTTCTCCCCTGATGCCCACCTGGCAGCAGCAGAGCGCAACTATGGAAAGCACAAACCCTGTAGCCAGAACCCTCGGTTCTCAGGCTTGGCTCTGCCACTTACTGACTTTGTGATCTTGGGAAATTAATTTCCCTGTGCTTCAGTGACCCCACAAGTAATGTGGGAACATTCCCACCAATTCATAGAACTCTGAGATGTGAAGAATTTAGAACATTATCTGGCACATGTTTAGTAGTAGATTAGTGTTAGTGGTTATCTCAAGGTTCAAAGCCAAACTGGGGAATCTTCTTACCCCAAACTTGCTCCTCTCATCGTTACCCCACACTGTTTTAAACCCCATCCTTGAATTCACTGTGGCCAAAATTCTTGGAGTCATTTCAATTCCTCCCTTTCCCTCACACCCCACAACTAAATCAGCAGATCCTCATGGCTTTAATTTAAAAATGTATTCAGAATCTGAGTACTCTTCACCGCCTCTGCCATGGCCACCCACTCCAGCATTTCCCATTGATTATTTTCCGTGGCCTCCCGGCCAGGCTATTTCTACCCTTGATGCTATGTAGGTTTTTCCTGACAGAGCAGCCAAGGAGAGCTTGTTAAAGTCAGATCAAAGGGCTTCTCTGCTCCAACCCTTCCAAATCCAAAGTTCCACAGTGACCTACAAGGCCCAAAGGATCTGTCCTCTAGCACCCACCTTTCCTAATACTCATGCTCCCCGACTCCCCAGCTCCAAGATGTTGAGCACAGTTCAATCTAGCACCAGGCTGGGGGTATAGCTGAGTTGGTAGAGTGCCTGCCTTGCATGCACAAGGCCCTGGGTTCAGTCCCCAGCACCACACACACACACAAAAAAATCTAGCACCTTTGCACTGGATATCCAAAAGAAGTCACTTAGACATTCAAAAGAAATAGATGTACACATGACTCACTTCCTCATCTCCTTTCAGATCTTTTTCCAAATGTCAACTTATCACCTTCTGAGAAACCCATTAAAACAGCAAACTCCATTTTCAACAATCCTTCTACTCCACTTTTCTTACTAACACATGCACCTTCTGACCAATTCATTTATTTTCAGTCTCCCTCCATGAGAGTGGAAGCACCAGGAAGATAGAGTTCTTTTTTCTCTCTCCCTCTCTTTCTTTTTTAGAGCTTTATAGTTTTACACAGTAGTTGGCTTCATCCCAACAAACTCATGCATGCATGGAATTCGATTTCAGTGCATGATTCCCTGCTCTTTTCCTTCCAGTCCCCTTTCCCTTCTCCCCTCCCCCATTGAAGGTGGTATTCTTTGTGCACTGCTGAATCCCAGTACTTTTGATGGTGTTCTTCTTTTACTAGTTGTTCAAATAGTCGTTGACTAAACAAACAAAAACAATCTCACCTAGCAATAAAAGCTCAAAAGAAAATAAAACTGGGCACTGTGGCACACATGTATAATCCCAGGGGCTCAGGAGGCTGAGGAAGGAAGATTGCAAGTTCAAAGCCAGCCACAGCAACTTAGTGAGGCTCTCAGCAACTTATCAAGACCCTATCTCTAAAAAAAATAAATAAATAAAAAGGGCTGAGTCCAATCTTGGGTACCTAAAAAAAAATAGATATGATAGGGCATGACAGCAGCTATGAGTGGGGTACACTAATTTATCTAAGCAACATTAAGGGATGTGACAGTCTGGCTGGGCACAAAATCACGAGCCACTCAAGCAGGAACAAACTTTATTTTTTGAAACTGCCGCCAATGCCCGGGAAGATCACACGCAGCGTTCTCCCCCCGCCCCCCAGTTCTCCCGGAACCCCAGAGCAAGTTCCTCCCCCGGAATTCCCTCCTACTGCACTTCCCCAACCAATGGGAACTCTCCAGGAGTCCTGCAGCAAGCCAAGGTGAACAATATCCATATGAATATAAATCTTAACATAATCATATCATCTCAATGGCTAGCTGGCGTCACCTTTCAACCAAAAATGCCATGCATCATATTACTTGGCTGTGGCTCTTAGCAAAGGGAGGCCTCATGAAAGAGAGAGAGAGACCTTATGATGGTAGCTACTTTTGAGACCTGAATGACAAGGGGCCAGCACATGATGTTCTGCATCCCCTGGCAGAGAGCATGGGCACAGTACAAAAGCCCTCTGCTGAAGCACAAGCAGGAGGCAGTGCAATTGGAGAAGGCAGTGTGATCAGAGAGGTAGGCAGGGGTCATAAACTGGAGATTGAGTTGAGCTTATCCTGGGCTTATTTATTCTCAGATCCATTTTTCCCCTCTCCTGTTCAG